TTATTATTATTATTATTATTATTATTATTATTATTATTATTATTATTATTATTATTATTATTATTATTATTATTATTATTATTATTATTATTATTATTATTATTATTATTATTATTATTATTATTATTATTATTACTATTATTATTATTATTATTATTATTATTATTATTATTATTATTATTATTATTATTACCGTTGTTAATAATAATGATACATTATCATTAATATATTATCATTGCCATATATTGCCATTATTATTAATGTCGTTAACATAAATGGTACATTTACTATCATTGTTACTAAATCATAATGATTAATACTCATTGTTATTAGTATTGTTGTTATTATCACTGTTATCACTATGTGGACCACAAAACAATATGCATTTTGCAGACAGCAGCCACGACCAAGTGGTGAACGAATTTCAGCAATAGCCAGTAAACTCGATTTGAAGAAAAATGTTGTCAGAGTATGGTTTTGTAATCAGCGGCAAAAGCAAAAAAGGTCAGCTATTGTTTACAAATTTGAAAAGTAAACATTCGAAAATAGTTGTCAAAATAAAAAATGTAACAAATAAAACGTTCAATTTATGCAAGATTTTAAAGTAAATCAAAATTTGGAAAAAATAGCCGTACTTTTCCTGCATGGAAGTCACAATTGCTTAAAAAACAATTAAATTGTAAATTTTTTCAAAATATGAAAGTAATCTGCAAGCATTCATTTTTAGTATACAAATTTGCACTGGGTTCAGAAGTTGAAATTTTGAATTTGCATTTCTCTGCTCTCTTTCCCCCTTTCTCTTTCTTTATATATATATATATATGGCAGTAAGAGAAGAATATAGTCTTAATTTTATTTTCGTGGATAAGGAAGAAAAGGAGGTAATTTTAGGCAAATTTCAGAACAAGATACTATACATACAAATTGCAGTACTATACATTACCGTAATCGTGCAGCTGCCGTACCGTACAGCAATCCATCATCAATTTTGTAGATGTCGAAATCAAAATGTGAATACGCCACAGATGGTAGGAGCCAATATCAAATGTTCACCATTTTCAAGCGGTTATTTTGATTGAAAAAGAATTCCATTTTTTCATGTTTTGTTATTTCTTCCTTTTTTAGTTATTTCTGTGGCCGGTAGTATAATAAGTGAATTAGTCATTTGATTTGATTTAATCTAATTTCATTTGAATTAGTGGAAATTAGAGAAAAATTGACCACAATTTTGAAAAAAATTAAAATTTGACCGAAACTTGTAAACCATCCTCCTTTCATCATCTCTAGCCGACTCCTTGGGGATAATATTCGAATTTCGAAGAATCTCAAATTAGCACGGAACTATCCTCTTGCTTACAGTCAGATGACCCGTTCTTTCTGTCTTTCATATTTTCATAGCTAAGACCAGAAAAGTAGCATCCGTTAGAGAAATGTAACATTATTGTTAACTACCACTGAATTTAAAAAATTAAAAATTGAATTCCACATCGCTGTCTCGTATCGACACTTCTCTCATTTTGGCATTAGAAAAGTGGTTTTCAAAGGGACTCGAGTTTTCCAAATTGACTTCAGTCGAACTTCAAGGTGCATCACATGTTATCAATAAAACTTGAAGATTTATAATTATTTCCTCGCCACCCTCTCTTCCTCATTTATTTATTTCTTATTGATTCACTGAGATATATGTGTATTTGACAAAAATCGATTACATTTCTTACTCGCACTTCATTCATATGGCACACTTTATTGGAGTAGTCGTGACATTTAGCATAAGTTGATATTTTCAAATTTTCAAATTTGAATTTTTCATGGAATAATTCCCGGATGATTCAAGAAGTGTAGTACCTCCATATTTTTGTTAATGTTAACCTGCTAGTTTCAAATCATTTCATATGCAGAAAAAAAAAACGAAAAAGGGAAAAAAGAACTGATATAGAAGTCTCTCATCTGCTTTTGTTCCTTACGTACCCAATACATCCTAACATTTTTCAAGAAAGTCACAAGGTCCGAAATCAAATAAACAAATAATTATATGAACCAGCAAAAAAATCGGATTTCCTTTTTCTGAAGTAAAACATATCTTAACGAAAAATTTTAACAACTTTTAAACGTCAAAATTTCAAACATATTCAATGTTTCAACTGTATTTCGCACTATAA